TATTTCACTGAGCATAATGTCCTCCAGCTCCATCCATGTTGTTGCAAATGGTAGGATTTGTTTCTTTCTTATGGCTGAATAGTATTCCATTGTGTATATGTACCACCTCTTCTGTATCCATTCATCTACTGATGGACACTTAGGTTGCTTCCATATCTTGGCTATTGTAAAAAGTGCTGCAATAAACATAGGGGTGCATATGTCTTTTTGAATCTGAGAAGTTGTATTCTTTGGGTATATTCCAAGGAATGGGATTCTGGGATCAAATGGTATTTCTATTTTTAGTTTTTTGAGGAACCTCCATATTGCTTCCACAATGGTTGAACTAGTTTACATTCCCACCAGCAGTGTAGGAGGGTTCCCCTTTCTCCGCATCCTCACCAGCATTTGTTGTTCTTAGTCTTTTCCATGCTGGCCATGCTTACTGGTGTGAGGTGATATGTCATTGTGGTTTTAATTTGCATTTCCCTGATGATTAGTGATGTGGAGCATCTTTTCATGTGCCTGTTGGCCATCTGAATTTCTTCTTTGGAGAACTGCCCCTTCATATCCTCTACCCATGTGTTAATTGGGTTATTTGCTTTTTGGGTGTTGAGGTGTGTAAGTTCTTTATGTATTTTGGATGTTAACCCCTTGTCAGATGTGTCATTTACAAATACATTCTCCCATACTGTAGGATGCCTTTTTGTTCTGTTGATGGTGTCCTTTGACGTACAGAAACTTTTTAGTTTGATGTCGTACCATGAGTTCATTTTTGCTTTTGTTTCCCTTTCTCGAGGAGACGGGTTCAGGAAGAAGTTGCTCATGACTAGCTTTGCTTTTAAATGACAGCCGTACTGAGGCACAATCCATGCAACTCCCCTATTTACACTCCCCAGTTCATTGGCTATTAATACATTCACCGTGACCACTTTGGGAAGATTTTCATCACCCATAAAGAAACCTCATACCCCTAACGGTCACTCTCCCCACAACTGCTCATCCCAGCCCCTGGCAACCACTGATCTACTTTCCATCTTCATGGATTTGCCTATTCTGGACATTTCATGTGAATGGAATCATAATATATGGGCTTTTGTGGCTGGCCACTTCCACCTTGCACAATGTTTTCATCACCTCAGTGTTTACTAAATAGCCTAAGGCAGAAACAACCCATATGTGTATCACTAGACGAATCAATACATGAAGTGTGGCAAATCCCTACGGTGGGATAGTATTCAGCCACGAAAAGGAGTGGGCCACTGACACACACTCCAGCATGAACTTTGAAAACATACTCTGTAAAAGAAGCCACACATGAAAGACCACCTATTGAGGGATCCCGTTTATATGAAATGTCCAGACCAGGCAAGTCCATCAGAACAGAAAGTGCATCAGTGGTTGCCCGGTGTGGGTGGCTGGAACGGAGACTCGCTGCTGATGGAGAGAGGGTTTCCTTTCGAGGCATAAACATGCTCTGCAGCTAGATTGAGGCAATGGTTGCAAACATCATGACTGTCCTAATGTCACTGCATTGTGTACTTCTAAACGGTTAAAATGGTAAGTTTTATGTTACATGTGTTTGACCACAATTAAAAAACTGCTTCCTACTGTGGCTGCCCACGCAGAGGGTGAGGGCCTCCCAGAGCTGTGCGGATCTGGGTCAAGGTGGTCAGAAGGCAGAACTGACCAGGACAGTGATTGACAGGATGTTTAGGGGAGGAAGATGGAAGGGTCTAGGGGACCCCTTGACCCCATGTCTGGATGGATGGGTGCCTGTCACCTGGAAGAGCAGCAGTCTGGACTCCCTGAATTTGAGGGGCCCATGGGGCATCCACAGAGTGGTGCGGGTGGGTCTGGGCTGGTGGTCATGTGCAGACTCCCTGGTGGACAGATGGGAGTGAGTCATCTCAGAGCGAGGGACCCACGTCTCCCAGGACCAGGGCCATCCCAGGGTGTGGTCCCTGTCGGGCTGCCTCCTTACCGCAGGGGCCTGCTTTCACGCTCAGCCAACTCCCTGCGGGGTGACTGGTTATACAGGCCATCAACGGTTAAGGGCCAGTGGTGGGGAAGGAGCCCACGAAGGAAACCTCTGGCCCCGCCAGAGGTGGGAGGAAGGTGCAGGGGAGAGCCCGGTGGAGGCTCTGGGAGGTGGTCTCAGCGCCACCTCTGGTGGACTCTGCTGCGGTGGCCTGCATCCTGGGCAGCAGTCACAGACACCTGCGAGGTCCCAGTCCGCACCGAGAGGCTCTGCAGCCCAAGAAGGGCACCCAGGCCAGGCTCTGCAGCTGAGTTGCTGGCCCAGGCAGCAAGTTTGGGGGCTCAGAGGAGTGGGCTCTGAGAGAGCCCCAGAGGCCCTCACCTTTCTCCTGCCAGGGCAGCCACAGTGCAGCTCCGCCAGGAACTTGGCCCAGGCAGCAGGCGCTCCAGGACTGCCCACTCTGGCCTCAGCGACTGCCTCCCCCTGGCCGGCCTGTGAAGTCCTGGCAGATCTGTCCATCTCAGGTGGGTGGTTACCCGGAGCTGTCCTGATTCCCGTTTCACAGCCTTCCCAGGCATGGAGCTGGGCTCACTGTAGGAAGCCCTGGGTGGGTGACCTCGTTTCAGCCCAGAGCAGAAACGGAACAGGCAGTGCCAATTAGCAGCTGCTCGTGAGCCGGAGGGACCGCAAACCACAGATCTGCAGAGCCTCCCTGCGGGCATTTGTGGGGCATGGAAAATTCCACCCGAGGCGTTCCTCCACTGGTGGGAGAGGTGGTGGGGACGCACCCACCGCAGGGACACACCCGGTTTCTCCTCTTGCTGGCCCAGAGGCCAAGGGTGAGAGCACTGGGGCGAGGGAGGCATGGACCACAAAGGTCCTGATTCTGTAGGGTGAGGGCGAGAACCTGCAAATTCATACATATGCCTCCCCTCCTCACCCAGTGACAGGATCCACGTGGTCCTTGCCCTGCCCCATGAGACTCAGGGGGATCCTGACTTGCTCTCAGGGTCCCACCCGGGTCAGGGGGCCAGACCATGAACCCACTCTCTGCTTGGTCCGGGGTCCACCTGATCACTGCTCTGCCCTAGAGCTCGGCTGGGGGGTAGATGCCTGGGTGGGCCTGGCACCATGTTGCTGCTGCTGTGAGCCAGTCTCTGCCTCTCTCAGCCAGAATCTGACCCTTTGGACAGTGGACACCTGGTGTGGGGAGAGAAGGGACACCTGGTCAAGGGCTGTCCTGCTGTCCAGTGAGTGACCTTGGGCCATTTCCATGGCCTTTCTGGGCCCCACTTCCCTTGAAAGGGAACATGGGGTTGCAGGAAACCAGATGGTTTCTCCGCATCTTTCCTCCTGACTCGGGGGTCTCCAATGTGCCTTTCCACCCTAAGGCCTCCCACATTCAAAGGGAAACTAGGTCTCAGTGGTCAAGATCCCTGTGGGCAGCTGGGTAGGGGTCGGGAAATGGTGTGGTCTCTCTTGGGATTGCCCCTGGGACCTTGTGCCCTAGTGGCCCCCACAATACCCAAGAACTAGGGTAAGAGAAGAGCCTGAGAGCAGCCACCCCTTCATTGTACCCCCCGCCCCCTGAGGTGGCTGCCCTGTCCAGCTGCATGCCCCCTCTGTCCTCGTGCTTATTCAAGAGTGGAAGGGACAGCAGTCCACACTGGCTGGGAGTCAGGGATGCCGTGGCTGAGTAGCTCGCCTAAAATATGTTGCTGGCTTCTGGACCTCAGCTTGCCCATCTGCAAAATGGGGTCACAGAAGGGGCCAATCTAAGGCGCCCACCAGCCTGACCCTCTGAGGCCCCTGGGCTCGGCTGCCAACCTGCTGTTCGCGTGCACACTGTGGCTTCTGCGGGCAGTGCGTAGTAAGGGCGACGTCTCCAGGCCCACGAAGCTCGCTCTGTCTCCTCCTGAAGCTCCTGCCGAGGAAGCTCACTCCCCGTCCAGCGGGGAAGCAGGCTGAGGCTGGCATGACCCTGAGGCACAGTGTGAATTCAGGTCCCTGGGAGGACGTTTAGAGGACCCTCCTGTGCCAGGCTGCCCCCTCCCCTGTGGGCAAGTGGCCTCCAAGTCCGGTGAGCCGGCGCTGCCGGCAGCCAGGGCAGGAATTCTGAGGGAGCCGCCAGCCTGGGTGTAGCCCAGGAGGAAAGCCAGTCCGTGTTGCATGTCACAGTTGAGAATTGGGAGGTGCTTCAGGATTGTGTAAACTGACTTTGCAAAGACCTACTGTGTGCTGGAGGCCCACCCTGAGGCAGGCCCAGGCTAGTCTCAGGGAAGTTAGCGAAATTGTGTGCAGAGTCATCCCTGGCCCCCAGACTAACTAAAACAGCCCGTGACACTCACACAGTTTCTGTGTATGGCCTCGTTTGATCTTTAGAAGAACCCCGTGAAGTTCAGGGGATCGTGGCGGTCACCCCCATGTCACGGATGGGGAAGGTGAGGCCCAGAGAGGGGCTGGGCTGTGCCCAGGTCACACAGAATCAGGGCCACCTGACCCTGGCCAGCTCTCTGGCTGCACCTGGCATTGTTCCTGGTTGACAGTGGGTCATGTGAGGCCTTGACTCCGGGTTGTTCAGGGGAGGAGAGGAGCCA